CGTCCCTCAGAGGTGCGAGAGAGACAGCCAATTCCGAACATCATCACTCTGTTCCTCTCGCATTCTTCAGGCGTAGGGGTGAGACGTGGCCGGTTCCGAACGCCGTCGCTCCGTCTCTCTCGCAGTCACGGGGCGCGGCGTGACTGTGAGAGAGACGGAGCACCCGGTCCATTAGCCGCGCGGGCTGTAATTGCCGGTAGCGGTCTGACCGCGAGGAGCAGCGAGAGCGAGCGAGAGCGACGAGGACATCCGAGAACGCCTCGCACGACGCCACGCTATGCCACGCCACGCAACGCCACGCTATGCCAAAGCCCGGCGGCGCGGAGGGTGTTTAATTAAAATTCCAGAGCTGGATCGGCGACACGGCAGTACACAGCCGTACACAGCGCTCTCGTCGCTCTGTCACTCTCGCTCCCCTACGAGACGCCACACATGAGAGCGAGAGAGAGACAGAGCGACACTGTTCGAAAACGACCAGGAAGCGGAGCTCTGCCAATAGCCTCGCTCTGTCAATAGCGACAGAGTGCCAATAGTGTCGCACTGCCAACAACGAAGACATCCGGAGAAATATTGAATATTTACCTAATCTAACCTAACTGCACCTAACCCGATGCTAATGTTTTCGCTGACTGCCAATAGTGCCTCACTGCCAATAGCGTCCCAGAGTCAATAGTGTTATCGTGCCCACAATGCGACTGGGGAAAATAGAACCGCCTCCAACATAACCTAGCTTACCTGACGGACGGACACCTGATTCCACTTGAACGGACTTTGACGCCGTTGCACTGCTGCACTGCCGTGATGGTCGTCGTCGTTCAACAGCTGACACCGACAATAACAACAACAAACAACAACAAGGCTTCGTGTTGGAACCAGTTAAACTTAGGCGGATGGTTGGTGAAGAGCTTCGCGTTTCGTCCCGGCCGATTTGGCGGGTTGCGTTCTGCCGCCGACTGATTCGAGGGTCGTTTTTCTTTTGTCGCTCTGTCTCTCTTGCATCGGTATGGCACGCCCCATGGGTGTGATAGAGACCCTCGGAATCAGTCTGCACGGAGTGAAAAAGTTTAAAGGGCGGTAGATTGCACAGCGAACGCGGCGTCCGGCGAGAGAGAGAGAGAGAGTATTTCGGGATGGAACGCAACGTCTGGCCAGCGACTTTATGAGTTCGAAGAACTCACAGACGGCCTCGCGGACGGGCAGCAACGGGGAATTAAAGCGAGGGCTATGTCAGAGAGAGAGAAAAGGGGGAGGGAGGGGGGGGGGGGGGCGGCTGCCAACTAACATGTAAGGGCGCCGCCACGCCGGAGGTTTCCCCACGCACTCCCACGGCTAATTGTGGAAGGGGGTGAGGGAGGGGAAATGCCCCCGAGGTTGCGAACAAGGACAACCCCCAGCCGGGCGTCGTGGGGATGGGCAATGGGCTTCAGGGAGGGGGGGGGGAGGGGTAACTGTTGCAACAGTTTGGAGGTTGGCCCAACTGCCTGCACCGCCAAATATGCGACGGTGGACAGGCTGCGGCGCTGCGGCCGACCTGCTGTGCTGCGCGCGCGCGCGTGTGCCGCCACACTGGAAATCATCTCCGCGCCGCTCTGGCAGGGGTTCAAATACCAGCCAGGTCTTCCGTTTTTTATGAAAGATAAAGAGACGCTTAGCCCCGGGGGCAGCGGAGCAGCGAAGCAGCGGGTAGTGAAAGGCCCGGAAGGCCGGATGGCGGACGAGACAACGGCTCCTTTTGTCCGCCGTTTGCCGTGACTTTCTCGGGGGGACGTGGCCGGCGTGCCCCAGGCTGCTGCCCCCCCTCCCCCCCTCCTCCCCCAGGCCGGCCTCGGACAATCAAATGGACGACGGAGAAACATTTGCCGAGTGGGCTGCAGGCCGGCTGACCACGGGCCGAATTTTAATGCGCAGTAAATGGGTTTCCATTCCCAAGGAAGGGACGCCGCCGCCGTCGTCGCTCCGTCCCGTCGCTTTGTTTCGCCGTCTCCTTGGAAAGGGGATCCGCCGACATTGGGCGGAATGACGGAATTAACGAGTGGCGGCGCGAGTCGCTCTGTCTCTCTCGCTCCTTACAGGACACCCTATCAGTGCGACAGAGACAGAGCGACGAAAACGACTCTCGGAATCGGTCCGCTGGCGGCCTGGCGGCCTGGCGGGGTGGCGGGGTGGTCAGCGCCCGGAGGCTTCGACGGGCTGGGGGCGCAGGGCGCAGCCAGCACAGCACGCCGAGACGGAGGGAACCGCCGCCCCCGCCAAGGCCTTCGTCTCCGATACTTCCCACAGTCCACGGCCCGGACACGGCGAGTGAAAGAATTTGCGCGGATGTCGACTTATTCTGCAGAGTGGCCGGGGCCGAGCGCAGACACGGACACCCCGGCACTAATGACAAACGTGGGGCAGGGCGGGCGTAGCGCAGCGACGTGCGCGGGAAAAGAGAGGGAGCGAGGAGAGTGTTCCTGACGCCGGTTCCGGCGCGATTTTGAGTCCGTTGTGTGACGCGGGCGTTTTATTTCGGCCGTGCCTTGGCCTGGCCGAGACTCTGCGGGGCAATTTCGCGACGACGCCCACTTAGCTCACTTTCAATAATCCACCGGGAACGGGGTGGCTATTTAAGCCGTCGCCTTGTTAGCCGAGCGCGCTCCCCGTCTCTCTCTCTCTCTCTCTCTCTCTCTCTCTCTCTCTCTCTCTCTCTCTCTCTCTCTCTCTCTCTCTCTCTCTCTCTCTCTCTCTCCACCCCGTCTCTCTCTATCTTCTCGGCTGAGAATTGGATTCGTAAGAGAGGCACGGACAGGTCTCGGCCGAGGTGGGGGAGGGGGGGGGAGTCGTTCCCAACCAAGGAGGCGGCCCGGCCGACGGCGGCCGAGTGCTGGCCGGTTGAGGGCCTCCCTGGGAGGGCCGGGCCCTGCACGTACGCGCTTCGACTCACAATTATCGCAAGGGATGGTGCCCCTTGTAGGGATGCAGGATTAGCCCCCAATTCCACCGCCCCCCCCCCTCCTTCCGCGCCACTGGAACACGAGTCTCGGCCCGGCGGTGCGGGCGGTGCTGGCGATGCTCGTCCTGCCCCGCGGATTTCCTTAAACCAACCCAAGAGGCGCGGACGCCGGAAAAAGCGGTCGGAAGTCAGCGGCCCAGCAAAATTGACTTTGGCTTAAGGGGAGGCCGGATTCCGGAAGAGTCTGGATTCGTCGCGCGCGTCGCCTCGTTGTTCCGCAGTGGGCCAGAAGACCGGCGCCGGCGGCCAAACTCTGGACGCGTTTTGAGCTCCAGAGTCGCTAAACAGGACTCGAACAGACGCGTGTGACCCTACCAATCGATTCCTCGTTCGGAGAGCAATCCATTGGTGGGGTCTGGGGTCTGGGGTCACACGTTCGGTTCGAGCCCCATGCAGCGACTCTGGAGCCAAAAACGCGTCCGGAATTTTGACCGCCTACACTGGTCTTCTGGCCCACAATGGTGCCGTCGAAGCTCCCTCTGCCCTCGTTCCTCGACGTCGGCGTCCTCGGCGTCATCAGCGGCGTCCTGGAGAGCCGCACCTGGGATGGAGGACGGACGTCTTCGCCTCCGGCCACGCTGCGAGGAGGCATGCTCAAGTGCTCGTCGGGGAGGGGTCGCCCCGCCCCGCCCCGCCCCGCCCCGCCGCTCCACTTCACCGCCCGTCAGTACCCAGTGGTGTGGCAGCTGTGTGTGCGGGGGAAGGCGGGGGGAGGCCGGGGTCTGCCGGAGACACCGGGATTCGAGTACCCCCTCCCCCTTGATGACCACTCGAGTCGCCACGCAAATTCTCATTTGCCGCCTCTTGGGGTGCGTGCCTTGGCGCGCCTTGGCCTGACTCGGCGAAGCGCCTGGCTTTGGCGGCGTAGGCTACTTGACGACACGGCACTGTAGCGGGTTGCCTACCCGGCGCCTGCCTTTGCCGCCTTACAAGGGCGGGGTAGGCAGCTCGGTGGCACGGCGGCGCGGAGGGTTGCCTACCCTGCCGTTGACAGGCGCTTGGCTCCACTGGGAGCGGAGGGTGGGGCATGGCTGCCTGGCTGGGGCTGGCTGGGGCGGACACATTGACGCACTGCTTGGGCTGGCCGGCTGGCCCTGGCCGCCTGGCCCGGGAGCGGAGCGGAGCTGTTCCAATCGCCTGGAATGCTGCGAGTGGGGACCACGGGAACCACGAGGACCACGGCGTGCATGGGATGCCATTAACCTTCAGGTGTGCCTCGGAGAGGACCCACGCACACACGCACTCACGCGGGCACACACACACACACACACACACACACATACACACGTGCGCGCGCGCACCCACTACTACTTTACTGCAGGCTGACACATTGGAAGCCGCAGGTAATACATTAATGGGACTGGCGGGCGCGCGGGCGCGTCCTCGGCAGAGCCGATACAAGAAAGGGAGGATGACACACTTCGGAAAACAGCATAGCTCTCACACTTCCCCCGGGAGGGCTTACATAGCTTGTGGAGACGAATGTCCGTCATAGAGAAGCAGTTGCGGCGGAATTTTGACAGTGCCTCGACGAAGTTGGTCTAGAGAGACTTTGCTCCGCGAACGCGTCGCGTCGCCCTTCTCGCTGCAAGGCGTCCCTTTGTTCGTCATTACCCTGATCACGCGCTGCCTCTCTCGCCTCGCGGCCCGGTCCGAGCGCTGCAGTAGCGTCGCTCTGTGGGGCGGCTCGTGCGAGAGAGACAGAGGTGCCCCGCAGCATTACCTGTGCTCTGGCGTACTCCGGCCCGGGCTGGCTTATCTAGTGAGTGACAGGCCCTTGAGTGTGCAGTGCCTGCCAGCACGCTGCCAGCCTGCCAGTCGAACAGCTGTGCGTTGTGGTGGCCTACATGGCCGGGCCGGGCGGGCCGGGCTAGTACACTGGCGGCCTAAGCTGCTTACCGGCGCGCTGCCCACCCAGACTCCCTTTTACAGTGCTCCGCCGGAAAGGCTCCTAGGAAGGGCTGCCTCGCTGCACAGCGCCCTCTGAGACCGCCTTTGCCTGTTGCAGCCTGTTCGAGACGCACCCCGACGTGCAGGAGGTGTTCATGCCGTTCAACGGCATCGAGCTGGAGGACCTCAAGCACAGCAAGCAGCTGCGCGCGCACGCGCTCAGGTAGGCCATTGGTCACATCCCCTGGGTCTCTCCGTCAAACCGAGAGTCGTTCTCGTCGCTCTGCGTCCCCCGCGGGACGCGCCAGGACTGCGCGAGAGACAGAGCGACGAAAACGACTCTCGGAACCAGTCTGCCGACCCTTGGGAATCACTCGCTTGTTGTTCGCCAGGGTGATGGCGTTCGTGCAGAAAGCCGTGGCGCGCTTGAACGAGCCCGAGAAGCTGCAGACGCTGGTGCGTGACCTGGGCCGCAAGCACGTCGGCTACGGCGCCAAGAGGAGATACGTGGACGTGAGTATGCGCGCCGCCCAGTGGGCCAGAAGACCGGCGGGGGCGGACGAAACTCTAGACGCGTTTTGAGCTCCAGAGTCGCTAAACAGGACTCGAACCCAGTGTGTGACCCCACCAATGGATTCCTCGTTCGGAGAGCAAATCATTAGTGGGGTCACACGTTCGGTTCGAGTCCCATTTAGCGACTCTGGAGCTCAAAACGCGTCTAGAGTTTTGGCCGCCTCCACCGGTCTTCTGGCCCACTGCGCGGCGTGCGCGGCGAGGGGTAGCGCCGGGGGTGGCGGCGCGCGGGGTGTCGCCGAGTGGCTGTCTTTACCCCGCGCTGCAGCGCCGCTCAAGCCCCGCCTCTGCTTCGCTCTGCTTACAGCTGATCGGGCCGCAGTTCATCCAGGCCATCAAGCCGTCGCTGGAGCCGCAGTGGAGCGACGAGATGCACGAGGCCTGGTCCCGGCTGTTCCTGCACCTGTCCTTCGTCATGAAGGGCTCCATGCTGGAGGAGGAGCGTCGCGTCAAGGCGGCGCCCAAGGGCCGCTAGGCGAGCGATGCCGTGACGTTAGACTCGCGAGCGAGGGGTAGCGACGCCGATACGTTAGACTCGCGAGCGAGGGGTAGCGACGCCGTTACGTTAGACTCGCGAGCGAGGGGTAGCGACGCCTTGATGTTAGACTCGCGAACGAGGGGTAGCGATGCCTTGATGTTAGACTCGCGAGCGAGGGGTAGCCACAATCCGCTTCTTCGTTCCACATCAACATAGCAACGCGGACGAGGAGAGGTGTGCCTTTCTAGCTGTTACCCAACCATGCTGTTTCCTGTAATCCTTTGATCGTGATGGATGTGAAAATAGTTTTAAAATATTTCAAGTATTAGACGTAGACTCGAGGGCTTTGTTCCGGTCCCTTATTGAAGCAGAAATGTACATAGTTTCCGGAACAATGGAACGTTACGTATTACTGTTTTAGAGTTAGAAAACTTTCAAAGACACAATTGTCGCCCTAGTTTTAAAACTTATCTAGCAGTAAAATCATACTACATTACATTTTCTCTAATAACTTGCATTAGCGTTGTGTATAGTTGTTCTCTTTGATCTTATTGTCTCGCTTTGAACCTTCACCACACGCGTTTCAGCCAATCGTAATAGACAGTCTCAAACGCGTCTGGTGGGGCCCCATATTGAGCCTGAAGGTGCCTAAAGGTCCATCGCTGTGGCCAGTCTCCGGGCTAAGCTGACCACAGCTGGTGTATGGGGCATCCGCCTTTTGTCGACTATCTCCCTATAATTAAAAACTACTTTTAGTGTTTTCTCTCAACTCATAATCTAAACATAACTTCAAAAATTTATGCGCATACCGACAGATAAATAAATTTTGTATGTTAGAGGATATCATCAGAGAAAAAGAATTTATTGTAACGGTATTGTTTTCTTTCCTGTGTGAAAAATAAAGTATTAGCAAAACTACAACGAGTATGAAATGTCCCCCAACCACGAGGCAGCGGAGCGAAAGCCGACACCGAGTATCGCGTGCCCGAGCAGACCAGGTCGGATTCCATTCCATGACGCGAGATAAGCTCCAATGTGCCTGTTGTCATCACTACAAAACGGACATTTTAAAAATTTGGTTTTTTTTACTTCCTGTATTCGAGCAAACCTTTTACAGCCCCGCGTTTAAAAAATTGCACCGATCGCAACCAAATTTGACATAATTACTAGATGCGTTTTTTTATCCTCATCGAAGAGGGATGCGCTGGAGTTACAATCCCACCACAAGAAAAAAACGCAACGACAGTGTAAGCAGTTTTTTTTTTAATTTTGTTTTTTTTATTTGAATTCTTTGAATACCGTGCCATTTTTCGTGGACATGCCGAAACTATGGGAGAGTAGAATTTACCCACGACCAGCTTTCGCCTTGGTGCGGTCTACTCGAAACTTGATCGTTTGCTTCAGGATGTTGTGACTATCGGAAGCGTATTGGATGACTAGCTTCCAATTTTCAGGACCAGGAAATATCGGCGGGGTAATTTCTTCAAACCTTGAGTTCCAGTCCATCCTGTAAAAGCCCTGCGGAAGGAGGACCACATTATGAAAAATTAATTAAATGCTTCATTTCCATTCATTCATTCATTCATTCATTCATTCATTCATTCATTCATTCATTCATTCATTCATTCATTCATTCATTCGCTCGTTCGCTCATTCATTCACGCATTCATTCATTCATTCATTCATTCATTCATTCATTCATTCGCTCGTTCGCTCATTCATTCACGCATTCATTCATTCATTCGTTCATTCGTTGCGGCAAGGCGTGGTATTACTCTTTCGCACTCGTGGAATTTCTACTAACTTGCAGCGGACACGAGGCAGGGAAATGGTAGTATGTCTTGAACGCACTAAATACGGGCTTCTTCTCCAAGCGCAAGTAATCACAAAGCGGAGTGCGGTACTTGACAAAGCTTTGGATGTACCTTTTCTCGTATAGCTCAAGGAGACTGACGTCAACCTGTGAAACAAACAATCTGATCCTGCATGAAGTCTCGGGTGGACCTACTTGACCGGTATTGAACCCGTGCTCACGAGACTGTTGTTGGGCAGCGGTTTGATGATATCAAGGATGGCAGAGACCTCCGAGCGGGGCGGCTTGTCAGTGGTGTTCAGTGGACGCATGAACAGGCCGGACTGCTGACTGAAATAGTCGTGGTCGTGAATCGACTCGACGTTTTCGAAGACCAGGTCATAGTTCTACGGGATGGTGCACATGACATGAGAAAGGTCAAATGGGTCGACTTACCTTCAGATCACGGAGATCGAGCAAGTCAAAGATGACAAATCTGTTCGCACGTGTGCTCATCAGTTTTTCTCTTTAATTTTACTTCGGTGATGAAGTATGGATCCTTTGTCTGATTGTAAGCGGACGCCAATTTCACGTCGTTTCTAGTAGAAGTGCGACAGAAAATGGCACGATTTGTCGATTTTGACTTGCCATCCCGTGGGGTGGCGGTTGGCGCTTGGTTACCCTGCTTATTGCGTGGAGATGGGGCAACAACTCCGCCAGTGCAACCACGACTGCGGCGAAGCAGTGCGTCCGCATGGTCGGCTGGTGTTGTGAGGACTGCCCGCTGGCACGCTCGGTGCCCCTGGCAGTCCAGGCAGTAATGGGTGATTCCTGTGACTTTTTTCACCTGTCACGCAGTTGTCAAACGCCGTGGCAAATACTTTCGTGCGATGTAATACAAAATTGTGCAGTGCGTTGTCTTATCATAAGGAGGAATGTTGACAATTTGCAATGCAACCATAGTGCACTCACTGCGTTTCCACTCCTACACTTTCCACAGTTGTTGGAATTATTTTTTGCTTGCGGACGAAACGTAAATAAACTTTTTATTTAATTTTCTTTAATAGCAACTTTTCAACCGAAGACACACTATGGGAGATGAGACTTTACCCTCGACCGGATTTTCCCTTAGTCCGGTCGACGCGAAACTTGACTGTGTTCTTTAAGAGACTGCGACCCTCGGAAGAGATCCCGATGACGAACTTCCAGTTCTCTGGACCAGGGAAATAGCCAGGCGGGCTAATTTCGTCAAACCTTGAGTTCCAGTCCATCCTATAGAGACCCTGCGGGAGGAGGGCAACATTGTGGAATAAATGCATGGAATGCTTCGGTTTGACTGGTTTCATTCCTTCACTGAGAATAGGATTTCTGCTCACTTGAATCGGACAAGAGGGAGGAAAGCTGTAGTAATATTTGAATGCATTGAAGACGGGCCTCTTCTCTAGTCGCAAGTAGTCGCAAAACGATACTCGATACTTGATGAAGCTCTGGATGTACCTTTTCTCGTGCAACTCAAGAAGACTAACATCAACCTGTAAAAGTAGCAAACTGATCCGGACGGGCCGACGTTCGGGCGAACACAGATGACCAGTATTTAACCCGCGCTCACTAAACTGTCGTTGGGCAGCGGTTTGATGATATCCATGACGGCAGAGAGCTCCGAGCGAGACGGCTTGTCGGTCGTGTTCAGTGGACGCAAAAACATGCCCGTCTGCTCACCGAAATAGTTGTGGTCGTAAATCGACTCCACGTTTTCGATGACGTAGTCGTAGTTCTACGGGATGGTGCACATAGCATGAGAAAGGTCCAATGGGTTGACCAACCGTCAGTGATCAGGGGGAACGAGCAAGTCAAAAGACACCATAATCCGTCCGCTCGTTTGCTAATTTGACATCGGTTTGATGGCGTTTTCCCCGATTATTAATCGGCGCCAGTTTGACGTCGTTAAACAGGCTTTTTCCATCTGGAGTGCGACAGAGAATGACGCGATTTGTCGATTTTGACTTGCCTCATCCCGCGGGGTGGCGGTTGGTTACCCTGCTTATAGCGAGGAGCTGGAGCGACAGCTCCGCCAGAGCAAACACGACTGCGGCGAAGCAGTGCGTCCGCATGGTCGGCTGGTGCGGCGGGGACTGACTCTACTGATAAGCCCGCACGCTCGGCGCCCCTGGCAGTCCTCGCTGGCACTCCTGGCACTGGTTGGTGGGCCCTGCGACTAAAACATTGCGGGCAGGAAAAATGTGTTACCTTTTATGTGCATTTCAATGCGCATCTCCGCTTTAAATGCGCTTTGATGCACATTGGCGCTATGGGGGGGGATACCAATTCAGGTGTGGTCGGTATTATACCTAACATTTCTGGACGACACATTTTTTCGCGACCATTCCGGAACTTGAATCTTTCATGAAGTCTTTTTTTCCCGGGTGGTCAGTCAGCGGTCGTGAATCTTGACCATTTAAACCATTGGTGGTTTCTCCCCAGCTCCGTGTAGCGCCTGCGAGGTAGGCCATCAGTTCGTCCCGCAACACACCGACGTGGAGACGTTGGCCTACCTTGCGCCTAGCAGTCCTCCCCCCTCCCTTTCCCCCCCTCGCACCACTACTTCATCCACGTCCTCCTCATCTCTCTGGTCTCTCTGCCTGTATACCGATCCGCTGTCAGCTGATATGGTGATGATAGGTGATGATAGCGTAATGATGTGTGTTGCTCTTGAGTGTGTGGGCGAATGAGTGTCATGGTTCGAGCACTACTTCAGTGCATCAGGGGACCGAAGAGGATCGTTACCGTTAAGACATTTTATACGTCGTCTGCATTTTTAAGGCCCGAAAAGAGAATTACGATGGCTAACCTAACCTATGAGGAGACTCTGTCAGACTCCAAGGCTGCGTTTCTGGCAGCAGTGAAGGCAGTCAAGCCGGCCCAGCTGGTAAAAAGTGCTGTTGAAATGAAAGGGAATGTGCTGACTGTAAAAGGTACTTTTTTCAATCTTTTCGAATCATTAATAATAGTGGGACACATTATACTGATTTACTGTTCTTTTTAATTTGAATTAGGTCATGCGTTTCATCTTAAGAAACCGTGCTATGTTGTCGGATTTGGAAAAGCAGTATTAGAGATGGCACTCGCAGTCGAAAACGTCTTAGGCCAACATATGCAATCAGGACTAGTTAGCGTTCCTGTGGGCACTCTACTGAAACATCCCATCCCAGTCAATAGCAGGATCGAAGTATTGGAAGGAGCTTCTAACAATCTTCCTGGTAATTTTTTCGGTTAAGGAAAACAAGCCAAGTCGCAAGGATCTTATTAGGAAATATTTTTTCAGATAGAATGGCAGAACAATCGGCAGCAAGGATCTTAAAAGTTGTCGAGGACTTAAGAGAAGATGATACTCTCCTGGTGTTGATTTCTGGAGGAGGTTCGGCCCTTCTGCCTCACCCCTTGCCGCCCCTAACTCTAGATGAAAAATTGCAGGTATTTTAAATGCTTTAAAATTTATAGAACTGCCATCAAATCACCATTTCTGTCACCATTTATTTTTGGCTGCAGGTGGTAAAACAACTAGCAAATGCTGGAGCAGATATCCTTGATCTAAATTGTGTACGCAAGCGTTTATCATCTGTGAAAGGAGGGAAGTTGGCAGCAGCAGCCCAACCAGCCACTGTTGTCTCACTTATACTTTCCGATGTTATTGGAGATCCTGTAGATTTTATTGCAAGTGGACCCACTGCCCCCAGCACTGATGCTCCCTCAGCAGCTTGGGATGTCATCTGTAAGTTCAATTTACAGGAATCTTTACCAAAAGCAGCACAGTTGTGCCTTACTTCTGGAAGTGCCACACCAGCAGAAGATATGCAAAACAAAGTCCAGAATATTTTAATAGGTAACAATGTAGTAGCCATCAATGCAGCTGTGGAGCAGATGGTTAGTCTCAATTACTCTGTGTGTGTTTTATCAGAAAAGATAGAAGGCAATGTAGCTGAAGTTGCACTTTTTTATGCACAACTAGCTTGTGGTATCAGTGATGTTATGGTTAATGGTAGTGGTTGCTCTTTAGAGAAATTTGGAGCTGACACATCACAGTTCCTTGGTGCGGCAGATAGAATAAGGAACGCAATACAGAACAGCCCAGGGAAAAAGGGTGTGTGTATGGTTGCTGGAGGCGAAACCACAGTGAAAGTGACAGGCAAAGGCCTAGGTGGTCGAAATCAAGAACTAGCTCTCAGGTTTGCCGAAGAGATGAAAAACTTGGACGTCAAATTCAAGTTTGTGAATAAACCAGTCATTTCACTCTTGTCTGCTGGAACTGATGGTATAGATGGCCCCACCAATGCAGCGGGTGCCTTTGGATATGCTGACCAACTAGACAAAAACATTAACCACCTGAAATACTTACTAGATAATGATTCACACTCTTTCTATTCAAAACTCAAAGAGGGAGAAAACCTTATTTTGACTGGCCATACTGGCACTAATGTAATGGATATTCACATTTTGTGTGTTGAAAGAAAGGAGTAAAATTTGGATTCGAAATAAAGCAAATATAAATTTTTAAATGTGTTAGAATAAATTTATTGCACTTCTGTGACTATCAAATTTTATAAACTGAATAACAGATAAATTCATATAAACAGCTAACACTATCCAAATTATTGAAAGAACAAAAGAACTTAGAGACAGGGCATTGAAGTAAAGAAAAGAACACTTGAAGCATTTGCTTTACTCATCTCTAGATGGGAAAGTTATGCTCCCATGTCCACAAACAGCAGACTAAATGGATTTAGAGTTGAAAGTCTCATAAAAACTTATATACTTTTCTAAAAACATGATTTGGCATTTAAAAATAAACACATAAAACTATTCCAAAAAATTGTGGAACAAAAGCAATTGCAAAATTGTCAAAATGCAAGATTTAGCAGAAACACAGAGAAAGGTATCAGATGGGTAATTCTAAAGCTACTCAATTGTAGCCTAACAAGGTAAATATGCTAAGATGTTCTTATAAAAACAGATTATTCAAAAGGCTTGCTGTCATGTTAAATTTAGCACCACAAGATCATAAAATCATTTTACAGTCAACAGACTGTACCTGAATGATATTCAAGTCTTTGAAATGTTGGACAACCTAAGAGTACATGAGCATCAACTGGACAATACAGTCCAATAGCTTGGCAGTGTCATACTTACTATAGATTAATTACAAAATAATTCTGTACAAAATCTTACCATAAACTCTACATTAATTTCAGTTTCACCAAATATATCATGGATGCACTTCAAGGAATTTAATCAGACTCACATAACAAGCACACCTAAGGACTCTTATTTACAGTCCTTTAAATTAACCTGTATTTGTTGGAGCTTTCCATAAAAATGTAACAAATCAGAAAATCTCAGAAAAATAACAACGGAAGTTCACTCAATGTCCCTTGAACAAGGAAAATTTCATCCATGAAAACAACTAAAATACAACGAAAAAAAAAACAAACCAAAATGACGTGTCATTTCCATCAAGAGAGAGCATAGCATTAAGAAACAGTTCCACTGAAACTCAGAAACATTACATGAGAATTATTATTATTAAATTGGTATTAAAACCTAAACTTTAACAAGTAATGACTAACAAACGTTTCAGAGAAGAAGCAAATCAGAAATATGCATAAATATGCTGTTTGAAATAAAAACAGTTCAAACCTTGTTGAAATAATTAACTTGTTTGTAAACACAACACAGAGCTCTGGAAGACATGGAGAGTAATAAGAAAACACTGCAAGAAGAAGGCCCACAAAATGTACGTCTATTTCTTGACCACTTGTTGCACTTCAACCAATAAAAAGATCAACTAACCTCCAGAACAGTCAGGAGGAGTGTTATAATGAGTAGAAGAATGTGGCAAGGGCATACAGTTTGCAGGTGTTGCAAGGTGAGGCCCAGGATGATGCGTCATTGTATGTAACTGCTGCGATGTATGAAGAATCATCTGTGAGTGATTAAGAGATGAAATTGAATGTGGCATGAGAGATGGTGGGGATTGATGAGAAGTCATAGTGTCTGTAGTTAAATTGGGTCCAACCATCATTGGTATTGGAACCAGGGGTGGTGGTTGCTGTAACTGCAAACAATTTTGTTGTAGCCCCATGGATGAATTATGCACAGTATTTTGAGAATTTTGAGGTATGGAGGCCACATTATTTGGATCCGGATTCATATCATCAGACATGGCCACATGTACTTCGTGGTTTTCCTCTTGATGAGCAATCATGTCCTTCTTCCTGTTGAATCCTTTGTTGCAAACATTGCACGAATAAGGGGCTTCACCTGAATGCTTAAGCACATGAGCTTTCAAAGCATTGCTAGTGGAGTAACTCGATGGGCATAACTTACATTCATATGGTCTCTCACCAGTATGAATTCTTGTGTGGGTTTTAAGGGGAGCTGACTGGGCAAAAGCCTTTCCACAATATGTACAAACAAAAGGTTTTTCCCCTGAGTGCAAAACTAAATGCACTTTTAACGTTTTTAAGAAATTAAAGCTTTTACCACACACTTGACAGGTGTGCGAGCGTGAAGCAGTGTGAATCTGTCGATGAACTCTGAGATTTTTCATTTGAGTGAAACATTTGTCACAGTCAGGACATTTAAGTGTTTTTTCAGTGGAATGCGTCTTCTTATGGATGTTGAATGTGGATCGATGAACAAACCCACGTCCACAAACATCACAGGTAAAATTCACCTCACCTGTATGTTGCTCTCTAATATGGCCTATTAAGCTATGCTTATGTGTAAAACTACGTGAACAGTCAGAGCAATTGTACTTTTTCTCACCAGTGTGAGTAAGTTCATGCAAAGTATACTTGGTGTAGCTATGAAATATTTGATCACAATACTCACAGTCGTACACTTTACGGTACTTCTTCTTCTTCCCACCAGCTGATTCCCCAGCCTCTGACTGACTGTTGTCATTGTCACCTTCATGCAGCCTTTGGTTTTGAGAGTCTGAATCCGAGTCATTTGAAGTTTTCTTGTTTTCATCATCTAATTTAATATCTCCAAGGGCTTCATGAATCTTCAAGTGGTTTTGGAGTCGCTTTAACTGTCTATATGGTTTGGTGCATATCTTGCAGTGATATGTTGGTTTTGAGAGGTCCGGATGATTGTCTTCCATATGGATTTTTAAATATTGAGGACTTTTAAATGATTCATTGCACTTTTCACAATGGAACTGTGACTTGGATCTAAGTGGTGCATGTCTGGAAAATTGAATTAGAAAAAATTATTCAGATAGTAAGACACTTAGCAGGACTGAACTAAACCTATTTAACTTACTCAACAGCTGATTCTTGACTATCCTCCACAACACCATTTTCCACAACTTCATTCTCAAGAACTTCATCATCATCATCATTCTCCACTACATCATAATTTTCTACAACCTCTTCAATTTCATCATCAGTCGTACCTAGCTCATCTTTAATTTGGGGTGAAACAACAATCCATGAATCCTTCACTTTGATGGGTGCCTCCAGCTGATCCTCATCCAGGCGAACAGGTTCTGGTATTGACACAGTAGAGGGCTCACCCTACAAATAGTTCAGAGAACATCAATAAGAGTTGAATATATGCAGGTTGTAAAAAGTAAAAACATCCAGATCAACTTACACCTCCATCTTTGTCAGGAAACAAATACAATTTTAATTTGCCATCAACCTCCCAGCACATTTTGCGAAAGAGGAAGAACTTGTCCAGCAAGCGCATGCACGACTCACAAACTGATTCAGGCAATCCATCGCCGGTGGAAACCTACAACAGACATTTCACAAAGGTAAAACGAATGAAAGGGCATAAAGAAAAGTAGTAAATGGTACATGAACGAATTTCAAAGAAAAAAAAAGGAATGTTATTTTTAAGAATTTGTCTTAAGCTAAGAGGCACTTTCAAGGAAATTATTTGAGAGACTTTCACAAATGGTACACGAGGGCAGAACTGTCAACTTGTAAAATGTTCCATAAATTGAGAAATTCGTCTAAAACACAACAAAAATATTAGCAGGCACAATAACAAACCCAAAAGACGCACCTTCAAGGAGGTACAGGCATATATTTTAAACTTCAAATTCTCGTCGAGCGCTGTAGAGTGTCCGGTTGAGTTGCCTTCGAAAAGCTCTGAATCCGGCGACAAATCCAAGCACAAGCGGCACGCTCTAACAAAGACCATCTTAGAAATAAATTAGTTTCGTTCAATGTTTGTGAAGCATCCACGCCACCATATTGAATTCGTTCACAGGCAGACGAGGGAGTACCAACAGATGCACCGAAAATATCCTCCTGAAAAATGATTGAAGTCTTGAATACGGTACTTAGCGTTTCCTTCAATATTTAAAGTCTTGTCTCAAAGTTATATTTTCAAGAACAAAAGATTTTGGTCTTTTAAATGGATTTATTCATGTCCTTGCTAGTATCCTTATGTTGCTTAAACTGAGTGATTATGAGAGATTCTGCATGACGCTAAGCATCTCTTTATCACTGAAAATTTCGTCGTTGTGAGAGTTGTTGAACCCGGGTAAACGTCCGTTGTGCGCGGCGGCAGCGAGCAGTGATCTAGTGAAAAGCGTATTGTGATAATCAAATTTCTTTTCAACGTGAGTATACTGAGGTTTTGTTGGTTTTATTCGCAGTAGTTGCGATGGTGACGACTGTTTCTGTCTCTGTCACGAGCGGCAGCACTTAACCTGCACACAGGTGAAGCAAAAGAGCACGCGATGCATCAGGCCCATTTGGCACTGCGCAGCGCGCGCAGCTGTTACAACCACTGATACTAACTAGTTGTTATTTCCTCGTGCGGTTCTAATTGACGTCCTACCTCGGATACAGTCTATCCTGTGCTGTCTGTCTTATCAATGCTTGTTCTTCTCCCTGTAGGTACAGCATGTCAGGCCGAGACGGAGGCAAGAAGAAGCCCCTGAAGGCCCCAAAGAAGGGGGATAAGGACCTGGACGAGGATGACCTGGCCCATAAGGCCAAGCTCAAGGAGCAGCAGAAAGCGTTGCAGGACGCCAAGGCCAAGGCTGCCCAGAAAGGACCTCTCGTCAGCGGAGGAATCAAGAAATCCGGCAAGAAGTGATATTTCTTTCAAGGCTCACTTTTTTTATATTCTAAAGACTTCCAATGCCAGCATCATACCTCAATACCTCTGGTTGTCATCTTCGGAATTATTTGACAGCCCACAATGACTCTTCCTATTCTCATGCACGTCTTGTTTCACCTTTTCCATGAAGTGTTGTATCATAAGATTGTGAAAACGAAAGACATGAGTGCTGACTATTTTTGAATTTTTAAGCAAAGTTGTTGTGAACCCTGTTGCTGGTGAAAACTCCAGTATCTCATCATGTGCTCTTAATGTAATAAAGTATTTTTTATGACAGTTTGATTTATTTACCTTCTTAAATTCTATTTTACATAAAAAAAAGCTCTGAGCTTAAACATTATACGATTATTTCATTTAATTACAACATTCATGTGAAGCTGATGTGTGGAAATTCCCAACTCCCTGCATGTAAAATACGTCTAACAACGTCTAAATTCTCATAAAGCTTAATAATTATAATTCCTAGTTTCAGAAACAAAAAAAAAAAAAAAATGAGCGATAATATCTAAGTTAAACAATCACACTGTAACTTATCCTCACATTATCATTAAGCTGTCTGAAGACACTGTGATATAATTTGATTTTCATAAACCTGTTCAACTTGCACAATATTTTCAGTTGGATATAATTGTACTTATAATCACAAGGAAGAGGAATGGATCACAATTTAAATGCTTCTCTAATAGAGACAAAAGTACATAAATAATATTTGATTTTGTTATGGAACGAAAACCACTAAAATATGTAGAACACTAACTGGGTAAGTTTGCATTAGAAGGAGAGGTAGGAGAAGTGGCTTTCGAGGATGATGTATTTGGTTTTCCAACAAGCTCTTGTTCTCGCAGAAGTTGAGCTTCCCTCTGCTGCTGGCGCTGAAGAGCTTGCTTTTCTTTGCGCTGCTGCAGCTTCAATGCCCGCTTCTAAAACAAGTTCAAAAGATTATATATTATAAACTCCATTCAAACTAAATCATGAATGTTAGGAAGAAGTTATAAACCTTCATTTTGGTGACTCTATCGTGAAGTGTCGTCATGTCCTTCTTCACTGCCATCAACTTTGTTTGGTATGCCTTGACCGTTACAAACTGTAAAATTCGTAAACTGAAAAGAGTTTGTCATATTGGTAAGTGAGGTCAGAGATGAAAGCATGCACTGTTTATAAGATAGCTTTGCATTAGAGATGAGTGAAAAGAGCATAAAAGGGCTAAAATCAGGCAGCTCTGAAAAAATTGAAGTGATTTATTACCATGCCTTGAAGTTCCTCGGCATTCTGTGTGTCCACAAAGCGCTTGTTTTCATCTTGAAGCTGCTCTATGAGGGTGTTCTGCTTATTTCTGCAATATCAACACAGAAACAAAAGTGAGATTACTGAATTGTCAAAGTATTATTATAGTTTCAAGGAAGGGAAATATCTGCAAAATTATTAAGAGAGATTGAAATGTTAACACTGATATCTGTATGAGAGAGTTTCAGAAAGGGTGATGACACTACTAGTTACAATCATTCATAAAACTGTATTGATTTTGAAAGTGTAAAAAAAAGTGTACAATAATATAATATCCGGAAACTAACCGCATGTTGAGCAGGGCCTGCAGGTTGGAACTGCCTATGCAGGGTGGAGATTCAGGAGGCCCCCTTTAAAATAACAAAACTTGATAAGCAAAGTTCTTACTGATGCGAAAATTTAAGGGAATGTAACACTTCAAATTCATACAAAAGAACTAAAACTCTACGCAGAGTGAAGTGAATGAGATTATCATGAAATAAATATATAAAAGAACAAACTGAATAGGGGCTCCTGAATCCCCCATGAATACAACACAGGAACCAGGAATCAAGGATTCCAGTATAAATTACAAGGCATTTTAAATGGAATGAAATAGAGTCAAAACACAAAGAGGTGGGTGATGAATTATTGTCGTTGGTCAAACACAATTGTCTATGATGCTAACTTACACTACTTCAGCAAGCTGTTCTCGGAATCGCTTCAATTCAGGTTCATAGAAAGTCATGAGTCCTGCGGCCAGTTTCTCCAGACAATCTTCGTTTGCAACATTTGATATTTCACCAGGACAGCTGAAACAAAAATGCTGAGAATCAGGAGCACAGCTAACAAAACCGACAAAATACACTTTTACTATCCCAGGGATGAAACAGAAATGTACATTATGCAGCACTAAACTTTATTAAAAATTGACTTAAGCTATGTTGCCGTTTTTTCTAAAGCAAGGACCAGCTTTATTCCCTTTTATTTTCGTAAACATGTATAACCTACTTGTTGTCATAGTTGTCATGTTGAAGAAGGATTTCCCGGATTTGCTCTTTCAACTTGTTGTTGCTCGGGGCTGACATTTTGACTTTGATGGGACGGGTCAACGGTCGCTTCAGTGAAACTCCTTGAAGAATAAATGGTACAGGCCAGCTAAAGTTAAAAGTGGGAAAGAAAGAGATCAAAGACGCCTACTGCCCAGGAGCAGCCTAACTTTTAGAAAGCAGACCTGCCAACCCAACTGAACTGAACAAACACAGTGTGAGGCACTCAGACGTATGAAATCGGACCGGAGGCTGAAAAAAGAAGCTTGAGAGCCATCTATAGTACCCGGAGCCTATTGAAAACTGGAAAGAGTGTAAAAAGGTGTGAAGAAATCAGATATTCTATCTTGTTTATACACCAACTTTCTGCTCAGACTGTACAAATCAATAACAGTCAACGCGATAATCGCCTGTGAAGGATACAGTGGGCCAGTATAGGGGGCAAGTCGTATTCTGTGCCATTCGTGTCTATCATTAAGATAGGCCAGATAGTTATTTATAGTCTAATTTAAATCAACATGTGAAGGGAAAACCGGATATTCTTGCTTTCGCTGTCTGCTAGATCAGGTGCATATTCTGCGAATATTTACTTATTCGCAGTGACCCGGTCTGCTTGAAAAACAACAACAAACAAACAGAGGCGACTCAGATTTGAATAATGTTTTGGGATGAAGGCATGGTTTGTCGTCTTTGCTTGATCTCGAATTTAAATGCAAGTAGTTTTTACGAATTATTTGGAAGCGATGTCACAGAAACGTCATCTGTTGCTTCAAAACTTTTTTCTGCATTGAAGTGGAAGGTTAGTATGAGCATTTTGTCTTGAGCTACTAGCACCCTGTTTCCATCGGATATGTTGCTATTTTATTACATCCATGTTTTAGTTTTGAGTTGTATATTTTCCGTTTAGCTTTATTAATTATGTATTCTACACGTATGTGAACAGGTTCATAGAGAAGATGGTCTTTCCAAATACGTTTGCATGGAATGTGTTCAGCAGTTAGACTTTATTATTTTCTGCAATACATGGTCGTCAAAGGTTGCTGTGGATTTTGAGGAGGTTCAATCACTTTCGTTATTGCATTGCAAACAAACCAATAAAATGGTAAGTCTCAGTTAGCTTGCATCAAAGTGTGAATTTCGTTTTCAAAACTATGTTGCATTACCCTTTCAATGATTTTTCAAGGCGTAAAACTTTCTGTTCTAGGCCCGCAGTCATCTTTTTTCTATATTTGAGAGAAGAAATTCCAAAAAGATTGATCCAGCACTTATCAAAAATAAGTTTAATGCCATCAGCTTACTAGTTTCCCAAATAGAAAGCATCTTATCCAAAAGTGATGATGAAAATTTGTGCTTCACTGAAAATGAGAACAATGTCACTGATTGTATGTCACTTGATATAGAGCAATATTGTAGTTCTCCAGCAGTCGATAATGAAACATACCCGCCCATCATGAAGTAAGTTGGATATCTTTTGCCCAAACTTTTTGAATATTGTCTACACATTTCATTCTTTCTTTTAGTTGACCTTTTCTTCTGTTAACAATTTACAGTGAGTGTCCAGCTGAAGCTGAGGTTCCTACTGACTTAGAATTGTCAAGCAATCCTGAAGACTCTTCAAACCTTCCCATGGATGATGGCTTCCCTGCATATGTTTTTGACAAAAAGGAGCAGCTCTTGTGTCCAGAGTGCCAAGTCTCATTCCCTAAAAGAACTCTTCTTTGGAAACACTTGATGAGCCATGAAGGTGCCATCGACAAGTACCAATGCTCTATTTGTAGGAAAAAATTTATATCCACTTGTGAATTGAGTAGACACATTAGAGCACACAAGGGTTTAAAGCCTTACAAGTGCTCTAAGTGTAGTCAATATTTTAGCCAAAAAAATCTCCTTGACAATCATTTGAACTGGCATGAAGGCCGCAAGGGTCACTTATGTGACATCTGTGGTGAGTGCCTATCAAGTGGACCAAATTTAAAGGCACATATTTCAAATCGACACTCCATGGAGAAACAAAGGCCTTTCAAATGTAATGAATGTGGAAAGTGCTTTGCACGTAGTCATCATTTAGAAAATCACATCACAATTCATACGGAATGCCGCTCTCATCTATGCACTACTTGTGGTGTAGCCTTTAAAAGATATTCTCAGTTACAAGAGCATGAAAATGTGCACAGTGCTGAAAAGCAGTTTAAGTGTGATGAGTGTAATAAATGTTTTTGGACTAAAAGAGTGTTGAAAGTTCACAAATTGGTGCATTCTGATCTCAAACCACACCAGTGTTCTCAATGTAGCAAATCATTTGTTCGCTTAAGTGGTCTCCAAGCACACCTGAAGACTCACAAAAATTAATTATACACTGCTGTCTCAGGCATAAAATTTGATCTCCAGAGCTTGAATTTTCCGTGCTTGAAAATGTTTAAGGTGGTTTATCATATAGAAGTTGTAGTAAGTAAAAAAAACTACTAACATGTTTTCATAAAAAATTATAAATAGAGTGAACTTTATTCTGCTAAATGAATGCTGTGATATAATGCTACCAAATTTAATGATTTCTTGTGAGGAGTGACAGGAAAGATGTAGCTGACCGATGGTTCTTGATCAGCTATGCTTGGTATGCAGGATTTTCTATGCCAATTCTTGAAATTTCCAATTTGTCTGATGCTGGTACCATTTCTGTTGTACTTTTGGTATCTGTTGTAACAAAATACACGAGATTTGGTAATCCTTTCTGTTTCTATTCGTATGCATTACATGAAAAATTATATGGAGAAATTGATCTTCAGTGAACTTGCCTGATTGTTCTGGGTCATTCCATGGTTGCACTTCGCCTTGGCAGAGAACCAAGTAGACAATGTACGTGACCACTCCGATCCCGGCACTTATGTAGAACACGATGTTCCATGCAGTGATTGTTTGCTGTAATCAATAAATCAAAAAATTAAAACGTTGTTTTGATGGAGCAGATTCTAGAAATGAGTCTACTTTTCAGTGTATCTACATAGGAAGATTGATCAACCAGGTCGCACATGGTCGCACACCCCTGGCTAGAGGTCTGAACATGCAGCGTGGTGAGCTTGCGCCCTGCCGGCGGCCCTCCCGCCCAGCCCTGCTTGGTCGCGGTGCGGTGCAGACAAGTTGGGCAACCTTCCGCCGCACCGCGACACTTTGGAGATTGCGCCATTCTGCAGCCAACAGGCCCGCAGCAGCCAGCCGGGCTAGCTGGGCCGTTCGTGGCTACGAGACCCTCGCCATTAAGTCCGCATGGCCCAGGGCGGCAGGGCGCCCACTGCGCCCATGGCCTAGAGTTGCCAACCCAACCCCCGGGCGTGACGACTATCCTCTTTAAGATTCATGAGGCCGTAGGGTTGGCGGCCCTAGCGAGGCCTCGGCGAGGCCCTGGCCTGCACTACTGGGTGCCGGCCGTCCCAATAGTCATGCCTTGTCGGGCATCACTGTTATTCCCCGGCATTCTGGCAGTGCCGGCAGTGCCGAGCAAACAAAGAAACAAAGCCCAATTTGCAAGGAAAGCGAAATCACAGGGCGAGCGCGTGCGTGTGTTGCTGTGGAATGCTCCCGTGGCGCCTCCAACCGCTTGCCGCCGGATTTTTTTGTTTTTATTTCTCGCCTTGGCGCGGTTGCGGGTTCCATTCCTAGGCAAGGTAAGCCCTTTTCCCCCGCGCGAATATAAAGGGGGCCCCGCCGTGCATCCGCCACGCGCCACGTGCTCCGGAAGGCGAGCCCGGCATGGTCCGGCGACTGTGAATGCCGCGTCGCCATTGGTCGCCCGCTGGCTCGGCCTGGCTCGGGCATTCCGATTGGCCGATCCAGGGACACGGTGGAGCGTGAAAGCCACCCACGGTCTCTGAACAGACCCCAGCAAGGGACCGAAAAAGGGCGCAAAAAAGCGCACGTGGCTCGGCGACGTTGTTTGTGGGCGGTGTCCCCAGCAACCATGAATCACTCCGTGAGATGCTGTTGTCAAAACGAATGGGGACGCCGCCCGGAGGACCCGGAGCCGCGCCACGCTGGCCAACAGGCGGCCGGGATAATAAAAATCCCTCGATAACACAATCGCGGGGGCGGACGATAACTCCCCTCCAGGACGACGGCGTCACGGCGTCCTTCAGACTCCCGCACGCTCCGCGCGCTCCGCACGCGAGGATGAGGCCTCACGGACGAGGGCAGTGGGCCGCCTGTTGATCATTTTTATTTTCATTGCCGTTCCGCGCGGCGCTGTTGGCAGCGCTGCGGCCGTTTATTGGCGCCAGGCTGCGCTACGAGGGCTGCGCCAGCCGTTGGTACTGCAGCGCCTTTGTCCAAGCGCAAGTACTACCGCACCACTATTCGCGCCGGAGCGGCCAGAGCCAGTAGGGTCTGCCTGGTCCGTTCGCAGCGCTCCCAGGCCGAGAGCCCTCGAAATGAGCCGAACATTTGGCAGGGCTATTGTACTGTACGACCGGCGCGCGGTGCGTGTGGAGAGCAGGCATGCACGGCCAAGGAAAAGCTTCGGTTCCGTCACGCTGCAAAGCCTGCAAGGCGGCACCACCAAGGCACCACGTCCTGGTCGTTGCCTCGGCGCGCACAGGTGCCAGACGACAGACTGCCTTACGTTGTTGTTAGTGAGGATGCCGACAGCGTACGGCGCCAGGATGCCCGCGCCGTTGGCGAACGTGTTGGAGATGCCCAACATGGTGCCGGAGAAGTTGGGCGCGAGCAGGAGCAGGTTGATGGAGTTGCCGGTGTACTGCGCGCCCAGGAACAGGCCGTTGAACGCCAGCAGCACCAGGATGCTGACCGTGTCACACCCCACCACCGTCACCAGGATCAACGTCAGCGCGGGGCCCAGCGCGGCTGCAACCACCGAAAGTTAGTAAAGGCTCGGTATTCGCACCCGCCACCTATCCATTTGTACTCACTGATGCCGTTGAAGATCTTGTAGGCCGTCAGTTTGCTCACGTACTCCCGGGTGATGACGAGGTCCAGCAGCAGGCCGAAGACGACGCTGGCCGTGCCGCCCGCCACGTAGGGGATGGCTGACAGCGCGCTGTTCTGCAAGTTCAAAAAGTTTCACCATTTAATATTCGCAAATTATATTAAAACCGTTTACGCCGCCCACCGCCGATATTATTCCCCCTCTCCCTTCCACTTGAAAAGCTCCCCGCCCTTCGGCTCGACTGCTGGCTGCTCTCGGTCCGACGGGTCTGTCCTCGACTTCCTCCTGTTTGCCCCCCTCGCCGTCCCAGATACGCAAGACATGCAAATTTGCTATGCGTCGCTGATGAGGTTGAGGACTGAAACTAACTGCCACACAGCAGGGGTACCAACCGTCGCCGCCTCGGCGGCACGCCTGCTCGCCCCCGCACGCATGTCTGTACTCGATTATGTTGTCGGGTCGTGTGTCGATCAAATATTCAATCCACGGGGTCCTCGTGTGCGCGAGCTGGCTAGCGCGAGCGCACTGTATCACGGATACCAACCTAATAAACCCCGACCGGAAGGCGGCAGCGCGCTCTCGCGGCGCTCTCGCGGCGCTCTCGCGGCGCTCTGGCGGCGCTCTGGCGGCGCGCTAGCGGCTCTCGCGGAAGCGCGTTTAATTTCATCCTAGAAAGCGAAGCAACGGCCCGGCCCGACCCAGGTTTATTGGTGTGAAGAATTAAACCCCGTTATTCCCGTTTTTAATTACTTGCCACGCTCTTTCCGGAGTGCGAGCTTTACGGCAGATTTCACGGCCCGGTTTTATTTTGATTAAACTGGTGGCGGTGCTCACAGTGTCGGCGTGTTGTTAAATCTGCCATTTTCCAGAAACATATTTACAAAGGCATATCCTCCCCTAGCCGCGCCCCACCACGCCACGCGCGCAATTTTACCCTAAACATGGCGGCGGGCCGACCTGGCGTGGTCTTCTCGGTTTGTTTCGCCGTCCGACATTTTTTTCCATCCCATTTTATTTTATTTTGTAAAGAAACTGTGAATATAACGAGAAGGCGGAGAAGAAAGGGACGGGGGTGGTTGGCACAGTGGGACGTCGCGGAGCGGCCGAGGCCTTGTGAAGCTGTTGCCGAGGCCGTGGCCCCTCGCAGAGAGAGACAGAGAGAGAGAGAGAGAGAGAGAGAGAGAGAGAGAGAGAGAGAAGAGAGAGAGAGAGAGAGAGAGAGAGAGAGAGAGAGCGCACCGCGGCCGCGAGCAATTCGACCACCGGAAGTAGTGCCCAAGGAAACCACCACCATTAAGTGGGGCAGTGGGGAGGCGCCGAGAAGATGGCGCCATTGCGAGCCTGGCCCAGGTGGAAGAGAGAGATAGACGAATTTTTAGCGCGCATGGATTCTGCGGAATGAAAAGGGAGCCTTGTTGGCAGTGGCGGCCGGCGGGGCGGCGAGTGGTGAGGTGAGCCTACTTGTAGGGCCTCTGACTCTGACCTTCGGCCTCTTCGGACCCCTCGGCCGCTTCGGACGCCAGAGGGGAGCGAACCCGCGACTGGCAGTGGAAGCGGAAAAGCTGCGTGCCGCTGAATACATGAATTCGTCGAAGAGCGATCGATGGAACGGAGGGGCTTAGTGGATGAATGAATGAATTAATGAATGAAAGAACGAATGAACGAACGAACGAATGAAAGTCTGGATGGATAGATGGATGGATGGATGAATGAAGGAATGATCTTGCAGCTCCGAGGAGGTGCGGCACCGTACGGCACGCTCGTCTCATATGTGCGGCCGTCCCTCATCTCCCCTCCGAGCCCTTACCCATTTTCTCTCTCTCTCGCTCACTCACACACACACACGTACTCTCACTCACGTTGGAACAGGCTCCGTGCATAATGTGGCCATAAATTAATTAACTGAGCATAGCAGGTCGGGGCCCTACGGGGGTCCCTGCGGGCCCCGGCCGCGGTGCTCTCGTTGCCCTCGTGGGGCCCCCGCAGCCCCAGCAGCCCCAGCGAGTGGCCGGGGGCCGGAGCCGGGGGACACCCGAATCCTGGGCTCACCTCAGTCACTGTCGGAAGCCTGTCGGAATCCTGTCGGATTTATAATTCAATTATTTTTTGGGGGCAATTTGAATGGGATGGCTTTGGTCGGTCGGTCGGTCGGTCGCAAGCAACAGCGTCTGTCCCGCTGGCAGGCTGGCAGGCCTGTCCAGCCCAGCCATTCCGGAGAGTCGCTGCGCCGCTGTCTCTCTCGCACCTCTGCGAGACGCCCCGCGAGTGCGACAGAGACAGAGCGACAAAGCGACCTCCCGAATCAGTCCGCTGGCCAGGAGGGGCCAGGGCCGGGGCAGGCCGGGCCAGCGAGGCCGCGGCGTAACAAGAAGTCTACAAGAGGGGCGAATCCTAGTTGATGGTCGTCGATACTCTCGAAGCGGAGACGCCGTCCCCAAGTTTCCTGGACGAGGGGTATCGCCGGTGAGTTATGGCCCGACGGCCCGTTAAGAGTTGGCCGTGGACAAACTGGCCGTCCCGTTCCGTTGTTTCCCGGTTTCCCGTGCGTCGATACCCCGCGAAACCGCGAAACCCGCCGGAACCGGAGGCGGCAGCGGCGATACCCCGCGCGGAAAGCGATGACGAGCGGAACCGTCACTGTGTCGAGGCGTGGAGGCCGGGCAAGGCCAGGCAGGCCGGGCAGGCCTAATCGGGGGATTTATGGCTGTCGGTCAGGCAGCGCGGGGTATCGACGGGTCAGATTCATTCCCTTCCCTCTCACTCCGGGAAGACTGCTGGCCTGCGGGCCTAACAGTGCGCCGTCACTGCGTCTCTCTCGCACCGACCGCCCACCGCCCCGCGGGTGCAACAGAGAGAGAGAGAATCGGCCTGCAGCCGGTGCAGTGCGGCCACATCCATCAACAACGCACATGCGTGCGAGGAGCAGGCGAAGAAAAAAAGAGGAAAGAAAGAGAGACGTCAGTAATCGAACCCGAGACCGGACCGGCCGGGCTGGAGGAGCTGGGGGGCAGAAAGATTGCTCGCCAGGAGAGGAGGCGAGATTTATCGGTCGCATTTAGACCACCTTCTTTTAAATTTGTGTGAGCTTAACTTTTTTTCTGCCCCCTGCCCCCTTGCGTCCTGCTTTAGGGCCGGGAAGGGAGATTCTTCTTGTAAGCAAAAACGGACGCGCCTAGGGGTGGAATTTAGAGGGCTGTGCAAGTTGCGAGCGAGGCGGCGTGGCAGAGTAACGTGCTGAGAGGGATGGTCAGAGAGGGGGGCTGAGTCGGAATGCGGAGCGGATAGTGAGTTTGATTGGTGCAACTGTCACCGCCCCCACGCAAACAAAAACTAAAACAAAAGGAACAACAACAAAGCGACACGGTGGCATCCACCTAATGAGCAGGCTGCTGATTAAAAACATAAACAAACGGGGCCCGTTACTGTTTTAGTTGTTTTTGTTGGCCCAGCGGATTTAGGGCGGGACGCAAACCTCTCCAATAGTGGCTGCACCTCTTAACGCGGACTCCCAAACACAATAACCATGACAAAATAATTGTGTTTTTTTTAGTTGTTGTTTTTGTTTTTGAAAACAAGAAGACATGCCACTTTGTCTTTGCTTAATTAGTCAGTAAAGAGGTGCGAACGTAGGTGTGAGCGGCGTGAGGCGGCGCCAGGAAAAGGAAAGGTGGATAATGGCGACGCGCAAACAAAGAGGCGGCACTAAATCTGCCATACACCCCCCCTCCGCCTCCTTCCCACTACCGCCACGCCGGCGGCGCTGGGCTGCGCTAGCGCCCCTGATGAGAGGTGCCTCTGTAAAGGTGGTTGCCGTGACAAAAGAATTAGCGCGGCCTCTGTAGTGCGAGACTGCCTGGCGCTCGTTGCCATGGCGACGCCACCCATTTGACGGTGTCGTCGCTACCCCTCGCGCAAACGGCACCCATTCGACGGCGCCGTCGCTACCTCTCGCGCAAAGGGCACCCATTTGACGGTGCCGTCGCTACCCCTCGGCTACTCACGCTCTTAATGTCGAAGTGCAGGATCTCGGACATGTAGGTGGGCAGGCAGGTGAGCAGCGTGAAGAAGGCCCAGCCGATGCCCAGGTGCATGGACGCGCATGCCCACAGCCCCGGCGTCCTCAATAACTTCCCCCACGGGATGGCCAGTTTTTTCTGCAATAAAAAAGTACATAATAGCACTAACAAAGGAAACTTTTAAAAAATGACGTGAAACCAGTTTTGGTTGAAAATTGTAACGGCAGCTTTTCAGCGTGGAGCTGAGCCAGCTCTCGGTGGATTTCGGCTTGCAAATGGAAAACAGAGGTTTCCCTATCGCAGTGCTCAGGTTCCATTCCCCCACCAAACGTTTTACTCTTTTTCTGCTGCGGATAGGTTCGGTGAATAAATAGCAACTGACATTTCCCCACAGTGGAATTCGACCACCGTTACACTTTTATTTTGATTGGGTGGACGGCTGCAGTGCAGGCATCCAGTGTTTGGTATGGAGAGCGCACACGGGCCGCAGTGGCCCCGCGTCTCCACCCCACACCAACCAACCACCAACCGCCGCCTACTTCGCGCTGGTCAAGGTATGCAGTAAATAAAGGGATACCACACGTGCATGCATTGTTGATCGTATTTTTGGAAAAAATAAAATAAAATAATATTGAATATTTATGCTAGGAACAGGGTGCGCGCCAACACCGCAAAGTGCCCAACGGAACAGATTGGGAATATTTCCGTCGTTCTTCCGTTTTCGCGCCAAATCGCCCAGTTCGGGGTGGGTCGAGAACACTGGACGGTTAGCAACCCTCGTCGGGAAGCTCGCTTGGAATGAGACACACCACACAGTCCAGTGCGGTCCGATGCGGCTGCGTGGAGGACGGATCTGGCGGGCTCCACCCACCCCACACCCTTCAGTATCCGATCAAGCGTGTCCAACATCGTCAGGGACTCCCACACTAATGGTAGTGCCACCTGTGCTGCGCGCTGCGCCGCGCTGCGCGGCAGGAATTCGGATACGCGGAACCCGGTGAGGCCACTCAGCCCGATTGGCCAGCCTCAAGGGCCCGACCCGGCCCGCCCAAGGCCCTGCCCAAGGACCGCCCAAGGCCCGCCCGCCCCGGCATGCGCATTGCCATCAAAATCTCTGCTCTCCAAGGAGACCGTCGAGAACGTGCTCACAGGCCGAAGGGTACCGAAGGGTACCGAAGGGTACCGCCAACCGCCTCAGAGTAATTCTCGCCTGCGAGTGCTTCGCGATCGCCGGCCCTCTCTGAACCCGTCCCTCCGGTCCTTCACTGCGGACTTGTGCCGGTCCCCTCCCTTCGATCCCGTCCCTTCGATCCCGTCCCTCTGATCCGTCCCTCCAATCCCGTCCTCCCGGAAAACATGCCGTCTCATTACCGGCTTCGCCGGGCCTCGGCAGGCTTGGCCGGGCTTGGCGGGGCCTCGGCAGGCTCCCCAGCCCGCCCAGCCACTCCTTGGGCCCACCCTCACAAAGCGCCCCCTCGCCGTCCCGCTTTCAAACGGGCTAATTGACTACAGAGCCGTCAAATTGTACGCGCAGTCTGATAAGACGGACAGGCACACATGCCAACAGACAGACGGACGGACAGGCAGACAGACAGACAGACGGACAGACAGACAGACAGGACGGACAGACAGACAGACAGGCGGCTGCCGAATGCGCCCTCTTCCGCGGCGTGACCCGCATGCAGACCGCCGAGGCAATCAGCAGCAGCCGCCCTGCACCGGAAGTGCACCGGAAGTCGCTGCATCGCCACTTCCGGTTTTCGGGCAGAGTCTCTCTTTCTCCCACCCACGTGGCGTTCCGCACGTGCTTCTCTCTCTCTCTCTCTCTCTCTCTCTCTCTCTCTCTCTCTCTCTCTCTCTCTCTCTCTCTCTCAAAATGGCCGCGATAAGGCGGGTGCGGGGTGATTAGAGACAATGAGGGGAAAACAATGCCGCCATCTCGATGAACTTTTTGGTCCCGTGATTCCTTTTTTTTGTCTTGGTAATTACTATTTTCGGAAAGCCCTGCTCGCGAGAGACAACGTCGCGGACACTATGGAGTGGACCCTCGGCCGGAATGGAGGGCCCCAATTTGGGGGGCGAAACTAATCAAGAAATGAACGGAGGGGCGCCGGGGCCGCGCCGGGGCCGCGCCAGGCGCAAAAGCGCGCCAAGGGGGCGAAGCGCGCGAGGCGTGGGCCTTGATTCCTCGACCCGAATATGAATAAACATCCCGACTTTACTCTTGCTGTTTAACTTGAAGGCGGTGTGTCGTGGCCAGGGATTCCCTGCCAGGGAATGAGAAGCTCGAGAGGGAACGTGGCAAAGGGAGGAGGACTAACGTGCGGAGCCGAGCCGAGCCGAGCCGAGCCGAGCCGAGCCGTGCCGTGCCGAGCCGTGCCGAGCCGAGCCGAGCCGAGCCGAGCCGTGCCGAGCCGAGCCGAGCGCGGCAGGTGACTAGCGGAGCAGCATACGCGTTTCGCCCGAGGTTTCTCTCCTCTGCAGGTCCAATGGAGAAATTAGCCATGCCATGTTTGAGCAGACGGCTGCCGTGGACTCCACCCAGGCAGTGCAAGTTGGCAAGCACTTTTACATCCCCGGGTGGTGTTTCAAGCAGTGTGTGTTCCCACCAGGTTCCTACGGTGGTGGTTCGACGAACCCGCCGAAGACCCTCGACTGACGATGCGTTGCTTTGACTACCCAGTAAGTCCCTACACTGTAACTATCCACTCCACCACTCCTGATGTCGCTGTGCAACACAACGAACCGAAACAGCGCGAAAAGAAGAGCAATAAAAACAAGGCAGCCTTTCCGCGGCCCTCACATGAAGGCTTGCCTGAAGGGGCTGCAGTCTGCGGGGCTGCAGTCTGCGGGACTGCGGGGCTGCGGGGCTGCGGGGCTGCGAGGCGTGCTGGCGGCTTATTAGCGTCGTTAGAGTCAAGGGCCCCTCGGCTGCACTCACTTTCGCAGCGCGCTGCAGCCAGCACTCCCCACAAACAATGCTATTAAGTCTTTTGCCCGTTGTCGCCGTTTATTCTTCTTGAGCTACGCGTCGCTGTGCCACCGGTTTGCGCCGCCATGGCGCCGCGAGCGGCAGCGCTGCAGTCTCATCAAGGCGAAGGACTGCGTGTCGCTGTAGCGACCCTATCCCGAATGCACCTCGTGCTGCGCCGCGCTGCTCTGTGCCACAGTGGGCCAGGAGACCGGCGCAGGCGGCCAAAACTCTAGACGCGTTTTGGGCTCCAGAGTCGCTAAACAGGACTCGAACGGAACGTGTGACCCCACCAATGGATTCCTCGTTCGGAGAGCAATCCATTGGTGGGGTCACACGTTCAGTTCGACTCCCATTTGGCGACTCTGGAGCTCAAAACGCGTCTGGGATTTTGACCGCCTGCACCGGCCTTCTGGCCCACTGTGTGTTCCCGGGCTCCCTCCCTCCGGTCGTGCATTTCTGCTGCTACGCTGCATCCTGGAGATAAGAACCTTAATTCTAACAGCGGGCCGCTTGATTAGGTACCCCCGGGTCCACCGGCACCAGCGATGCTGCAGTGTCGCTGCGCTGAGGCGGCCGAGGCGGCCGAGACGCAGACCGATTAAAAACACCCCGGCCGGCGGGTCTAATCTGGAAAGGGCGGGGTGGACCTCATTCTCGCCCTCATCCTGCGACCCCTCGTGGGGCGGCGCGAAATTCAATCCGGACGCCTCGGAGTGCGGAGTGCCTCGCCTGGCGGCCTGGCGGCCTGGCCTCGCCGTGGTCAGCACCGCGCCGTGGCCGAGCGGGGCATGCGGAGCCACGGCCCTCCGCGGCCCTCCGGACTCGATTAACATTAAGCAGTACCTTGGGGCGGCTACAGTGCCGCTCGGCCAGGACGCCGAGAGGCGCTCTGTCTCTCTCGCACCCATACTGGACGCTGAGTGCGAGAGAGACAGAGCGCCCCGTCTCCAGGACACGCCCCACTGCATGATTAAGACGAGTGCCATCGCACCGTCTCATGTCCGGCGGCACAGCCAGACGTTGTATCCACTCTCCGGAACGGAACGAGAGCACAGCAACCAAATTGGTCGCTGCGGTGCTTGCCGTGCTCGTCGGGCTCGCCTTGGAGAACAGTGGGCCAGAAGACCGGTGGAGGCGGCCAATCTCTAGACGCGTTTTGAGCTCCAGAGTCGCTAGGCAGGACTCGAACAGGACGTGTGACCCCACCAACGGATTCTTCGTTCCGGGAGCATTTTATTGCTGGGGTCACACGTCTGGTTCGAGTCCCATTTATCGACACCGGAGCTCAAAACGCGCCCGGGATTTTGACCGCCTCCACCGGTCTTCTGGCCCACTGTAGGGCTGGAGGCTCCAGAGGGGCGGTCTCGGCCGCGGCACGGCTTAAGCTTCGCAAGCTTCGCAGAGAGCCAAGTCTGAGAGCAAAGTCGCTGAGTACGCTACTTAGCACTCACTACTCGCCGGGCGGGGAGAAAGGGGGGGGGGGTTGGACGACGCGACGAGACGAGACGCTAGTCCGCCATCAATTTTTCCGCGAGTTTGCCCGTTCGCCGCAGCGACGGTGGCGCGCCCCGTCGGCGAGAGGGAGACGAGCGTGCTCCCGTTCGTTCGGCGTCTGCCAGGTCGAAACTGCTTGTTTGCAAAGTAAAGAACACGAAAAAAGCCGAGTTAATTGATCGGGCCAGACTTTACTCAGCTGGTTTGTTGTGAGCGGGCGGAAAACATAGTCATCGCCGGGGGAGGAAAAGATGGGACTAAAAATCTTAGCGGTTTTCTTTTTTTTTTTCTCTCCGGGGCCTGTTCTCAGGGCTTGTTTGTACCCGTTCCGTTGGAATGACCGACCCGGCGGCGACTTCGATACCTTTTTCCGCCCCGCTCCGCCCCACCCCGCTTCCGACGTGCGCTTGCGAAGCTTGCGAACGATAGAAAAGAACGACTTTCCAAAGTAGCCTTTCCAAGCAGACGACAGTGTTCGCGTCTCGCCCCGCCGTGTTGGGGCGGGGCGGGGCGGGGCGGGGCGGGGCGGGGCGGGGCAGGGCGTGATCGGTAAACGCGGCGTTCCCCGCTCACGCGCCACTGGACGCCAGAGACGCCAGCTCCGACGCCGGCGACGCGCACGCTTTACAGTGGTGTTTGCCGACGCAGCGCCAGGGCGCGCGCGAGTGGG